ACCGGGTAATGAAACATTTGCAAGAAAAGAACCAAGCTCAGAGAACCCCAAGGACTCCACAATAAAATTTTAGGAAGGAGATATCAGGAAAGACAAAATCATAAACAGAAGATGTGGTTGCTGTAAGAGTTTGAGGTCTCCAATATTACGGGAGAATTATGACATCTAAAAGCAAGCTCCTTAAAAAGCCATGAACTAACAAAAGAGTTGGTTCAAAAGATAACTTAATAAGAGACAGAATCTTCCCATAAATTCAGGGTGATGTAACAGGAGAGGCATTCCTTATTTATCTTTATTTAAGACCAAGATAAAAATAAGTCCCGCCAGTTTAAAAGCAAATAGATTTCTGTGCTTAATGAGGACATATTTATACTATCACACAAAAGATAAATGCCATGCCTGACTTGTTTACGTTACTTTAATCCTAATCAGTCATCACTCTTCCCCTGGATCCTGTGACCTGGACTTCATGGCCCTGCCAATTTGCTTAAAGCAGATCAAAATCCCAAATATTGTTTTAATGCTGCAGTATAACATTGCATAGATCTTTATTTTTACTCCTCAAGAATATATATGGATGGCTTTGATTGTTGTAAAACTGGTAATTCACATGCAGCATAAATCTCCACTTGCTTGAGTTTAGAAGAGAAATCACACTGTGGACTTCACCTACAGTTCAGCCAAATCTATTTACCCTTAAAAAGTACAGTTAATATAAATGTTTTGAACTTTGAACCCAAGCACCACCCATGAAAATCACAGTAATGGGTTAAACATGGCTTTTCTCAAACACTCAGCATTTATGATTTATGAGACTATCTCAAAATATTGCTTTTTATCTCAGAAGGCTCTTATTTGTTAACCAGACTCAAACAACAAGATGTCCCCATGTCCAGACTTACATATATCTCTGCAGTCAGTATGAGACCAAAAGGTAGCTAAGTTGCATGCTGGCACATATAAACAAAGGGACTTGGCTTGCTGAACAGCCAAGACCTTTCTTGGACTTAAAGCCTTCTTTGTCTCTAATATGGATTGAAAGATATTTAAATATGCTTTGATGTGTGGAGAAAATGTAAGGGAAATTAAGAAGAGTTCCTTTTTCCTAACAATAAATGAAGAAAGGATGCTACATCAACTTATCTATATTATCTATATTTTTGATAACTCATGCAGTGAGACAATCTGAGAGACTCAACATGAGTTGTTCTTGGTTAATCTATCTGGAAGACCATGCCTGATCTGTTCTGGCAATCACTGATGTGAATTAGAATAACCATTCCACAGTTAAGGCACTTAAACTCCATTAGTTGTGCCAGCATATATTGCTTGTGAACCTGGGGTAACAGTTCTTTCTGTACTTTCAGCATTCTGTTATTCACTGTTGACCACTGCTACAGCTGTGCTTTTGGTATAGATTAGTTAATTAAATGCTCTTTAGCCTCATATTTACTTGTATGTTTTGGGACTAGGTTGCCTGTGACAAAGAATATTTTTCTTCCTGTTCCTTTAAAGCAGGAATATGAGAGTAAGATACATGATCTATAATTGTAAAGAACTGAACAATATTTCCATGGTCATGAAGATTCAGGCAGAAATATATAAGATGCTATAATATCATTAAGTGATTAACAGTGTTAATGAAATAGTAATAACAATAATAATGGGATAATTAATAATAGTATTAATGAAATAATAAGCAATTCATTTATACCCTGCCTGGCATTAAATACTCAGAGCAATACTTGTAAAATTCTGTCAAAACAGAATAGAATATTCAGTATTCGGCTTCAATACGGTCAATATGACTGAGAAATGTTTTATCTAAGGGGCTGAGATATAAAGAGCTGTATGAGCAAATGAGCCATCTGGGCTATGACAAAAAATGAGGGTTGCATCTGCACTTCTTAGATTTTTGATGTAATAACATTATTAATAAGAAAAGATGCAAAAATACATCAAGAATTTCTAGAAGACAAGTCTTCCCGCTATTTTAATCATTACATGCTGGACCAGGTACCTTATTTTAGGCATTTCTTGTAGTGATCAAATCTGCCAAAGAACACAAGTAAAAAGGGAAATTTGCTAAAGAGAAAAAACAGATAATAGCAAATAGGAAAAAAAAAACTGAACAAGTTGAAGAAGCCAAAATGAATATGGAGGGACTGCTCTGACTGGCTAGAAGAGCAGCAAGACAAGAAATACTAGGAAATTGAAGAACTGTGGCAAGGTCTCAGCATGTGTTTTTTTCCTCCAATGCATGTCAAAATAGTGACTGGGAGAAAAACAGTCCCAATACAATATCTCCAATTAAAGCGTCAAAAGGTACAGGATATTGGAGCAGATATAAGAACCCATGAACCCCAAAAGAAGCAAAACAAAGCCAATAAAAAAAACTATAGATTAAAGGAGCTGAATAAAATTTGGCCTAGCTTAGGCTCCATCTGCAGATAGCATCAGGCTAGGCTATCTTTTTCCTCAATCTCACTTCTTACCTTCCTATTACCTGCACCCAATCTATTGCAACAGCAGGTTTGGGTTGTTGGTCTATGCAGGTAAGTATGGCTTAGACTTTTTTCAAATAAAACAGAAGTTGAAATAAAATAGCTTTAATGATGGGTGGCTTCGTGAACTTTTCTGAAGAAAGTAATGCCCTTGTATTTTAGAAAATTCAAGATCTATTCAATGGAATGCGGAAAACATGCTGCTCTTTTGCTACCATATGTGCAATTCAGTCTTAATTAAAAAAAACTTGGAATAGATCTGACATTAAAATCTAGTTTTCTGTATTGAAACTCTGAAGATATGCAGGGATTAAACAAGCAAATTCCAAGCACAAAGAGACCTCTGTGAGAGAGTTGCAGAAATTCTAGGGATGAAACTTTGGCATCCTAGGAACACGTGCCAGGGGAGAAAAGGAAACTGTATGGAAGTAGGTAGTTTCACTTCCAAGCCAGAAGCTAACATCTAATAAAATGCTCAAGAATCACTGCACTGCAAAATAGGCTCAGTCATCCCAGCAAAGGCCTTAATGGTAAAATACTGCAGTGAGTGTAATTGCTAACTGAGTGCTTTAAAAATCAGAGTGCATTTTACTAGGTTAACCATTCTGTATCAGAGAGTAGAGTTATGTATGGTGTAAGATAGGACTGCATTGATTTCTCCATATTTTCTAACTAAAATATCCCATCTTGTGCCATGCACAAACACACCATACAAATCCCACTGAACTATAACGTTATATTTTAGCACAAACTATAGCAACCATTATATGTAGAATTGCTATACTTCTCTTTCAAGCAGCTAGGCAGGCATAGTTTTCTGTAAAAAAAAAGAGGTAGCACATTCTACTTTTTACCACAACTTTGGAACCAGATAGCATCATACTATGCTAGTGTTGATGAAAATGAATGAATTAGCAATCATTTCACAAAAGGAAACATTGCTCCTACCATTGCATTAAAAATGGTTCCAAAGATGGCAAGAAGGCATTGCAGCAGTGCAAGAAAAATATGCTTTCTTTCATGCAACTTGAAGATATGCATGTAGAGTAAATCTCAGCCTTTAAGGTCATCCCCCAGTTGCCTCTCATGATACACAAGATGTAACAAGAGCAAAAAGCCACAGCTAGTATCATTCAAACAGTTTAACAACATATTCCAATGCCTCTCTGCATCCTGCTCCAGTCTCCACGCAGGATTAGTGAAACTCAGCTCAAAATACTCAGCCCCATTATAATATTAAAAAAAATACACTATCAACTTTATGGCACTCTTGTCTCATGCACATATTATTTTCCCTTCTCTTTGGGGAAACAAATGGCAGAATGACAAAAAATAAATTTAATCATCCATGGTAATATTACGGAAGAGGTAAGCCATAGACTCTCCATTATGGATTCGGCGGATAGCTTCAGAGAGGATCAAGCTGATGTCCACAGTCTTTATCTTGGGACACTGCAGTTTTTGTACTTCATGAGGAACTGTATTGGTGACCACAACCTATCAAAGTATAGGAAAAGAAAACAGCATCAGAAAACAGGGCTAAAATATCTATTTGGAATCAATCCATGAAGAATATTATCTAAGAAAAAATCAAGCTAGGAGCTGTTTGGGATTATCAGTGGGAATTAAGTCTATTGGTGTATTTAAGATTTCATCATATAAGAAGGAACTATAGCCAGATTTTAGGTTCAAATATTTGTGATGTCCCTTGCATAGTATGAAATGCTGTTAATAGAATTACTGTAAGACACAGAAAATTAAAACTGAATTTGTTTTCGACATAACAACAGAAAGGAAATCTATCAGTTGGATCACCAATGGTATTGTCACTGCTGCAAACAGAAGTAAAGGGTAAAATACTCAGTTTACAAAACATGAATTTGATCTGACACCCTCCTCCATAGACATGATAGCCCTGATACAGACTGGGCCACCATGCACTTAAACAAGGGTAAAATAAATCTGGAAAGGTTTAGTGCATTTTATATATGTTGTAGTTTGTGAAATGACAATTAAAAAAAAAAAAACCTCTTCAGTATGTATTTCCTTGAAAAAGGAACAATTTATCCTGACCAAAGAGTGGTAATTATAGTCTCTACTGCTCAACTGCTGGCACCTTAGTATAGCAGCGTGGCACTCTTTACTTTCATAGGGCTAATGTTCTCTCTCAACTCTATAATTTTCTACAACATCTGACATATAGCTTTATATGTAGATAACTTTAAAGTTGGTAGACAAAATGTACCACTATACACCCTCTGTCCTGCTCTGTTGTATTTCCTACTTGAAGAAATGCATCTGACTGCTGCCACTGGCAACCACATCTTCCTCCTCCCCCCCCCCCCCCTTCGCCATTAACTCAGAGAGAAAGACAACTGGGAGGAACAACATTTCTTTTGGTGAGGAAAATTAAATGAAGGTCAGAAAGGACAGATTATTTGGACAGGAAGGTACCAAAGGAGAGCATTGTATTTCCATAGTCTGGAAACATTCAGCACTGAATTATGGCTACATGGAGAACAAACTGTATTGAAAAGGAGAAAAGCAGGGACCTTAGAGCACAATAGGAAGATACACATTTTTAAATAGGAGATTTCCTGTCTGAACCTTTTGTTTCCAACCATTACTTTTTCTGAAAGGACAGACTAATGACATTTAGTCTCCACTTTCAACTTATCCCTTTAACCCAAGAAAACCTTCTCTCTGCCACAGATTATTTGCTATAGAAAGGGCAGAACGAGGTGGATACAAGTAGAAACTAAACTGTTAGAATTTCTCTATGGGTTTTGAATACATGCAGTAGCTGTGTACTCTACACATTGAAATCTGCCAATTTGCTCATAATTACTGGATATTTCAAAACCAGGACTCTTTAGGCAAGAGGCTCAAAACACAGCTGCAGACAACACTTTTACCAGAACTGCCAGTGAAGCAAAGTGGCTAGGCGTACACACCTATAGGCAGAGACAACTGGGAACAGTTGAACTGAATTGAATTGAAACAGTTGCATGAGCCTTGAAAAGGCTTCATCTCTTTCAAGTGCTTTGCATGGACTTACTGTGTATTACATATACATACACACATGCACACACTCAATTAGATTTCCCCCCCAAAATATGTTCTTTGATTTTAGGGAGCTTTTTGGTTCTAGTTTTGTTTTTTGTTCTTTCTTTTGGGGGGAAAAAAAAAGAAATTGAAGAATTAATCCATTGCCTACAGAAACTTGCCTCATCAATTGAGGACTCTTCAATTAAACGTGGGGCATCAGCAGACAAGAGACCATGAGTAGCCATGATAAAGATCTTGTAAGCACCACGCTCTTTCAGGATTTCTGCAGCTGCCACAAAACTTTCAACATCATCAATTATGTCATCCTGAGAAGGAAAGCATATCCCAATTAAACTGTGGAAGTTACTGATAAAAAGGAACTATACTCCTACCTCAAATGCTTTAGCACTAATGTAAATTCAGAAAGATCTGAAGAAATGAAAGTATGTAAGCATATTCATTTTTTTTCATCTATAGGTATTTTAACAAGCATTTTATATCAGCACAATATAAGACTGCCTCTTAAGATAGCACTTTAGTAACTACAATGATATCTAAGGTATTTTTTTCCATCAAAGATACCTGAAAGTCTGTTTGGAAAAATCATTCCGATAATCTTCAAAGAACCAAAATTAACTTTGACTGCATTGTTAGTTTGGTTATCTCTCTCCCAAGGTTAGGTTTAGAAAATAGCTGCCCAGGCTTACAGATATAATATGTTGTAGACCACCTGGAATCTCTGTAATATCTTCTGAAAAGGTCACCAAATTTTCATATGGTGCCTTCATACTATGGGAAACTTTTATACAAGGTTCTGTCACCTGACATACATACTGTCAGGAAACCAGACTTAGCTATAGTACCACTGAATTTACTAAAATAATGAAACAACATACCAAATTCCTGTTATAATTAAAGAAGAGATTAAAATCTATCCTGCTGAAACTTGCTACTGTAATATAGAGTATTATGTAAACTTAGTAAGACTTAAAGTCAAATCCATCACTTAGTCATTCCTTCAGAATAGGAAGACTCTATACTGATAACCCTTTAGAGTTGGGTTTTCTTTGCACATTTATTAAAATATATAGATATCAGAAACCATTAATAGAAGGTCCTATAACAAATAGGATGGTGTAGATGATGTAGAACATCTATATTTAAGCACAGAAAAAGTGGAAGAAGTGGATATTGCATCACTACTTGTCAGCATAATCAACACTGGCTTTGAGCCCAGAACTAAAATCCCAGCTATATTTAAGCATAAATGATTAAGCTGAGTTAAAACTGAAGAAATTCCCATTCAGTCTCTGGTCTTTTGATTCCTTACCACAATTATGGCAATTCTACCTCCAACATCTCCAACTACTGTTATGGGTGGTTTCTCTTTGGCCATCATCACTATAGTAGGAAAAAAATCAGAACGATATATTTATTGTACAGTATATATACATGTTCTTGCTTGCTTTGTAAATTAATGCTTAGCATAAACCTCACGTATGACAGGCTAGTGTTCATTCTGCATCACCTAGACAGATAGCTTAAATTACTTCCTTATTGGTTACAATCCTTTGCCAAATAGAACCAATTTTATCTGAATTAATGCAACTGCACACATACTTAGATAATATATTACAAGTTCTCTACATGAGATAAGTACTTTTCTATTTAAAACCCCAAATACCCTGAACATTAGTTGGTCTGCCTAACATTTTAAAACATTGCAACCAAAGGTTGAAATGAAACAGTTGGAATCAAATACACAGACTTGTGGTCACTGCTAAATGTTAAGAAATCAGACAAAATAATCCAGGTACGTAGTAAAGTAGCCAATATTGTACCATCCCAAATGTGATTTCATTCAACATGATTATTACTGTAGTCAGCACTTATGCAGGCAGATTAATTCTGCTTCAGTGGATACTTGGAAGTGAGTTCACCATGTCCATTTTGGGTTGTAACCTTAAGTAAATATTTTTATTGCAAACAAACCCAAATGCAAACTAGCTTCCACAAATTTAGCATTTCTGTTTACAATAAATGGATGACTACCTACCACTTAAAAAGACAATGAGTTGCCAAACAGAAATTTACTAATATTTTACTGGTAAATGCTACTTCATTCATAATCTTCCAACCCCAAGAATAGAAGCAAATTATTTGCTATTAAATTTCAGCTGATTATATTGCAATGGAAATCAAAATGGTAACAGTAGTAATTATACACATTTCTTGACTTATTACAATATGTACTTAAAAACATGGAACAATACTCAAGGGATGCGCATCTACCCAGTTTTTAGAAATATTATCTTTTACTTGAGAAATTATATCTGAAGAAAAAAGAAACATACCTTTGTTCACCTAATATTTGGGGGGGGGGTGAATTATATGTGTTCTGAAAAAAAATGCTAAAAAGAAATCAGTGGGGCTAATTTATTTCTCCTTTACTCATTTCAATACAATACAAGTAAGAAAAGATTTTTCTTCAGTGTAGAAACCTATTAATGTTAGGAAGAAAGCCCAGGAATGTAAGCTTTTTCTGAACAAAGTGAATTCAGTAACACTGCAGTTTCACTAGTGAAACATATCGAGTGCTTGGATAAGACTGTAATCCCTATTCTAAAGAAAGCTCTTGGAACATTTCTCAAGGTTGCCATTATAAATGCAAGTAGTGTGTCAGCATTAATAATTGGTCATTCAAGTACATCATGTGATAACCCAACTAACCAGTTACATTTTGCCTGTTTCCAGGGCATTATAGTTTAGCTCAGGCAGCAATGTGCCAGAATGTTAGATAAAAGATAAGGCCTGCCTTAATGAAACCTGAGAGATCATAAAAGGCATTTTTGTCAAATGTAGATGAAATGGATTATGTCTGTTTGATCAGGAACACTGTATATAAGAGGTGCATGAAACAACTTCCTCCATGCAAACATCCAACAGGGAAGAACTATCTCCATATTTGATAGCCCTCTCACAACACTTGTTTTTGCTTTTAAAATGTAGCCATCCTGGATTCATATGAAAATAGAACTTCAATTTTCATAACCAATCATGAAAGGTGGCAGAAACAAAGCAAAGACAAAACAAAAACAAAAAAGTAAACCAAAAGGATCTCAATCACTTCAACTGCTTTTACCCAGCCAGATATCGGTATATTTGAAGGAAGAGCACATGTGTACATGTACATGTTGAAGCTTTCTAATGCCTTAGCTCTGTCTTAGTTGGGGATAGAAAATCACTTCATCTTGTTATATCTTAAAGAAGGAGAAGTAACCAATCACTTTTAATAACCTTCATGTCTACTTGTCTTCACTGAGACAAGAACAACTGTAACCTGCCATGGATAACTTTTAAATTTCCATGCTATTTTTATATCACTAGCAATACAGAATGTTATTTTTATATCACTCTTTTAACTAAACATGTATGTATGTGGAGACAAATAAAAGGGTTATTTCCTTGCTACTATTGTTCTTTGACCTGATTCACATATTGTACTAAACCACAGACCCATACCTGTTGGATTCACATAACGTGCTAAGCCATAAATCATGGTATACAAACCACAGCATGTGGGTTATACAATACAGTAAGATAAAACCAAACTAGCCAAGCTATGGTTCAGTGTGGTGCTCTTTCAAGTTCACTTCCAGAACTTTTGCTGCAATTACACAACTGAGAAACACTCTGGAAAGGATGTATAGCACTGTGTGATGGGGCTTCAGAGACCATAAGCATCTATTAATGCTACCCCTCATCCTTTCAATTTGCCATTCATTTATTTGTTCATTTTTATAGCATTGATTATTTATATCCATATATAATTTATATCCGTATGTCCATATAGCATTGTTTATTTATATTACAGCCAGTTTGGTGTAGTGGTTAAGGCATCAGGCTAGAGAGTGGGAGACGGTGAGCTCTAGTCCCGCCTAGGCACAAAGCCAGATGAGTGACCTTGGGCCAGTCACTTTCTCTCAGCCCTTGGAAGGAGGCAATGGCAAAGCACTTCTGAAAAAACTTGCCAAGAAAACTGCAGGAACTTGTCCAGGCAGTCTCAGAATTGGACACGGTTGAACAGATTTTTTTTTAAATCTGTTATATCCTCATCTCACACAGAAAACTATTCATTAATAATTAATTGCTGCTACTTCAATGTTAGTTCAACAGATCGAAGCAGCTTACCAGTCCCAAAAGAGTAAAACTACTGCATTAATAACAAAACCCAATAAAATTATAAATTGAGGTATGAAAATATACAATAAATACAATAAGTCCTCATACCCCAGCAAATATCACTCATCTCAGTACTATTAGTTCTCCTCCTTCCTTAGTACCAAAAGCTTGATGGAACAGGCCATTATTTACTAGTTGCTAAAATAATAGAAGGGAGGGATTGAGCAAACGAGCTGCTCTCATTTCGGGGGCCAAGTTATTCCACATGAAGGGAATCCCAATAAAGATGTAATGAAATATTTTTCCATACCATTAAATACAGCAAAAGATATGAATGATGACCCCAGATTCAGAAGGGTCCACAGATTAGAAAATTCTGTGTTTCAGAACTGTATGCAGTTTTAAATTTGAATCCTACCCTCTTTGGCCCACTCTTTTCTGAGGCAGAAAATATTTTTGGGGACTGTATTAGAGTGGAATCAATACTCACTGATTTTATAAAGGATTCCACTGTAGAGGTTTTTCTATGCACAGAGAAAACCAAAAAGAAATGATAAATATTATTTGAATCCTATTCCTCAGTATGCTATTTCTATATATGTAGAATGTGATGGTTTTACACTGAGAAACATCTCATTATATAAATCCCCACTTTCAGCATGAAGTAGTGCAATGTAAATACAGATAAACTCTATGCCTGACAACTTGACTGTTTAGCCAAATATAGCAGATTTCAGATTATCCCTTGATGCATTACACAATCTTCTGAAGACATGCTCATTCAATTGCTACTATGCATTTTGACAAGCTATTGTGTACAAGCAAATATAGAAAAATATAACAACATACAGGGCAGCTCCAGTCCAGTGCACACTGTAGTATTTTTTACTGTCGGAGGAGAGTGCCGTCCATCATCCATGTCTTGCTCTGTGCACTGAGCCTCTCCGTGGATAACTGCCAGGCCTAGCCGCAATCGCTCAGCATAAGACTGGGCCCTATGTAAGCATGAACCAAATATTACTGCAACGCAAGACTTTCTGAGAAGCCCTAAACATAAATTCATTTGTTCATTCTTCAAGATCAAGCCTTGGAAAAATGTCTGTGTATGCTTTTTCATCAATTATTGATGAAAAGCAAAATTATACTTCCTTTTACTACTGATGCTTATCAGCCCTTGGATTTTTTTTCCATTAAGCATATTTTTTCTATTAAGTATATATTAATTGAAAAATACTTCAGAGCACAATGCCTTCCAATCCACAACCACCCACTGAAGTTCCTTCAAGCATTCATGAATGCATGAATGCATGTGTTTTCATTTGTGAAGAATGTCTTATTTGGCTTCCAGGGAGCTTTTGTTAGCTATTAATTTACCTACTATCCTATGCATAAAAGATAATCTAAGCTTTTAACTTGGTGATCTTAATCAAAAATCTCTATCCTATAAGGGGTTCAATACATATTCATTTAATTTCACTTAGCAGGGATCCATTTTGGGGGGCATTAGCTGGAGAAGTAAAAGTTGGAAGTCCCAAACAGTTATTTGCACACAGACCCATCTTCTAGAGTTGTGCATACATTCAAATCTGAAGAGAAAAATATAATTTGAAAATGTGAGTAGATGAGTACATAATGATTCTCAGGAATACTCATATCTTTTTCAGAGATAGTACAAGCAGAAGCCTTTCAATCCCAGGAAAATAGCTGCTTTAATATATTCCTAACAGTTGCAACAACAATGTCTATATGTGTTCTCAATTACATTTTGCTCTTCGAATTTTGATCTCTGTACAGCCCTACTAGGCTGAATTTTGCAGTTAGGAATTTTTGTAATATTCATATCTAATATTTTGTAATATGCATATCATATCTAAATAAGTGTAGTTACCTCTTAGCAGCATCAGGACTCTTGGCTACAATAACTGCATTCCTATAATCAGGAATCTGAAAAAAAGAGAGCAGGTCTTCGATTTTAAAGCAGTTTGGCTCTGAAATCAATTGTTTTACAAATAATTATTTATTATTATGTGACTGGGAAAAATTTGTTTATAGACTACCATACTCCCATATGTAGTCCCTATTTAATCTTTAAATAGATGCTGAATGCACTACTACAAAATAGGTGCTGGATGCACTACTACAAAATAATTACATTTCCTTTTTATTTAACTGTTCTTGATTTAGGGCCAAGCGCACACACACACAATCAATGAAATATGGGGAAGAAGGGAAGGTTAAGCTTAGCATTACTCCCAACTCTGCAGTTGCTAACTGTGAATCCTTGTCTCATATCTGTTCTGGCTTTGCTCTCAAACTCTATGAACTGCACAGCATCTTTGCACAAATACTGTGCTGCACAGCATCTGGGCTCAGTTACATTCTACAAAGGGCAATTGTTTTTGGAAAGGAAGTGTTAGAGATGGTGGAGAGATTCAGGTTTTTATATTACACTGAAGTGGCCAAATCTCCCTCAACTTTACTAAACATCTTATATTATTAATATAGGGGGTTCCTGAAATAAAATAAAAACAGGCATCATGAGTCAGAGAATAGATTCAAACTGATTTACGATTAAGTGCAAACAAGGACAACACAGCTTATTCAGAAAATCATAGTTTAAAAAAAATCTGCCTTAACATTACGGCTGAACACAGCCAACATGTAGTATTTGTATTACACAATTTCCAATAACTACTGAGGAAGGCAACAAGAGCTTCTTCCTTCTTTTGCTAATCCATCTCATACCTAAAAATCCCCATTATTTTTCTTTGTTGCTTTTTTTTAACTACTATCTAAAGGATGCATCAAGAGGTACATTAAATGGAGGTGGGGGGATTCCCTATTACACTGTGAGAACATGAAACTGGGTTGTGTGAGAATGTGAGACTAGGCTGAAGATGACATAACCTAAAAACAGAGCAGCCATGTACACACGGAGGACAAGAGCCAGGAATCTTGTCAAAAAGATCCCTTCAGGAGGTAGGTAAGAAGGAACCAAACTGTTACGGATCAGAGGAGAAATGTTACCAGAAGACAGACAAGGGAGGCCAGGGGCTGAACACATGGACTCCCCCACCCCACTGACAGCTACCACTCTTGTGAATCAACAAAGCAAAAGCTTTGGGGGATTAAAGGGGCCCTGAAGCCCGCCCACTCTTTGAGTCGTCCTGGATCCAGACTTGGCAGCTATAGTCTGTTTAGCTAGTGCCTGGCAGCTTAATTGAGAAGGATGTGGGTAAGTGGGGATGAGTGTGTGTGAGAGAACAAATGTACATATATCCAGTAAAGTTTTGCTGCCATTTTGAATTCATTATGTCTCCATTTATTGCATCAGAACTTGACATGCCTCAGTGTTTGGTTGAAAATGATTTCCGTGTGTTCCTAGTTTATTTTTCGGTTGTTGACCAGAGCTGCGTGTCTCCTAAGTTCTAGACACACCTATCTGGAAAACCCAAGTAGAAAGCAAGGGAGGCTGCAAGATCTGCATGCCTTGACAGGCTGCATGTGTGTGAGTGAATGACCATAAAATAAACCTGGGAGCGTGTGTAACAATACCCAGCACTCAAAAAATTGTTTTTCATTATTTATACTGCCTCAGATAGATATGAGATAATATAGATATGAGAACACTATCTTCTAATAGGACAAATGTTATGACTATTGAGAGATCAAAATCACTTTACCTCTTCTTGTATATACTGAAGCAAGAAAGGCGATGCTCTCAAGTTATCAACGGGAAAGCTAAAAAAGCCCTGTATTTCTTTCTGATGAAGATCCATAGTGATTATGTGGCTTAAACCTAAAAACCAAACAAACATAAAACATCATTAAAGGGGTTAAATATGAAATGAGATTAGTCATATTATGCTTTTCACATATGCTTTTAGATTTAAATAATCTCACATAGTCAAGAAATTAAAATAATTCCAGATGGATATCTAATTATTCAAGTTGGAATAAACCAAGATGCTTGCTATCAGGATGGACTTGAATTACAAGGCAGGAAATCTCATTTTAATGTTTAAAATTACATTTAGTCATTTCATTATCATAATTTTTTACTAAAAATGCATTCCTAGTGTGATATAACCTGAATACACATTCTTCAGTGTTTCAAGAAGGAGGAAGATGCATACTATAAGAAACAAATAAAGCATATTTTAATCAAAACTTTTTCAAATTAATTTTAAAAAGAAAATGGAATAATGATCTTAGTTCCAAGCAAGCAGATCAATATTGATGAAGTCATTAAGAAATGAACTAGCTCCAGTTCAATTAACTGTGGATACTTGAAGGATATTTTTCTCATGATATACTAACAGAATAACCACTAGTAGCTTTTTGCATTACTGATAAAAAAGGAACAGCTGAACCGTTTGCATTTTGTGCATCTGCCTTTCTTAAACACAAGTATAGGAAATATCACAGCACGGCATAAACAAGGAAGGAAAAATTACAGAGGCTTTTGTAAAATATTTTTAATACAAAGATTAGGGTAAAGTACAGAATCTTGGAATCTATGACAGACACTTCTAATCCTCATTTACTAGTGAGTTCACTGGGGTGGAGTCTCTTTGAATGTTTTGAATCATTTCTTCCCAGGCTTTTTGCAATCAGGATTGAACAGCCATTTATGAAGTAAACTACAAATAAACTCTTCTCTTCTGATTGTCTACATCTAACATTTCTCCTGTTTGTTTCCTAGCCTCCATGCAGTCTGTCATGGGAACTTCGTTGAAGTGTTCTCAAATAGGATAACATAGCAAGTTATTAGATTAGATTTTAGCCAATAGAATGCAAGGAATTTAAAGACTGTGACTGTATGACTCAGATTCTAATTACTAGAGGAGCTTGCTCTGCTCACTTTTTTGTTTCACTTTCTATTTCTCTCCATTGTCCCTTGTATTTATATCCAGTCTCCCCTACTTGCCCAGATCAATTATATCACCATAATTTCTCTATTCGCTGACCTCTTCTGAACTTTAGAGAAAAGTCAAATACCAGCACTGTTATACTTTTAAACAAAACAATGCATGAGAAGTTATGGTAACTTTCCCCAATTAATTGATTAGTGTTTCCATATACACTGAATGGCAAATTTCACAGTTCTCAGCCAATATGGCCATGGGTCATGAGATAGTACATAGAATATGGGCTCTTATTAGACTTTGACTCTATCTAAAAGTCAAAAACATGTAACAAATACAAGGCAAACATACTGCTTGGAGCAGATGTTTTTATAGGTTATATAAAACACTTTTGTTAAGAAAACATATAGGACTAGCTGCAAGGTTCAGTATGCTAAGCAGCTTTGGTTATAAGGTGATTTAAAAATGTTAATATACCTAAATACATAAATAAGTCCAGAATAACTTTTCTCTCTCTGAACTCTGTGACCTTAGAGATCATGCTCAGGTGCTCCCGCCTCAACACACTCTGAAACACCTGGTTAATCTCTTCTTTATTCCTCCTTTCTTCTAAGGAATTGGGTGGAAAATAGGCAGAGGCATCCATAGGATCCAGCACTTTTGCCAAAATGATGAAATCAACATTGCACCATTGCAAAGTAAGCGTTAGCACTTTCATATCTACACGCAGCATCATGAAGTGTGTACAAAAGGGATGGAGCTTATGCATTCTGTTGGCACAATGCTGCTTTAGTTATTTGTTCCTCCTTGTCCTCCCTCCTTGGATAACTCTTAATATAGGCTATTCATCTCCTATTTTTATCTTCCCATTACTTC